TATATATATATATATATGTAAAAATGAAAGTTTAAGTGGGATACAGATAATTTTCCCTAAATATTATTATATATATGTCAACTATTTTAACATATCCCATCAGGCCACAAAGATCTCCGATCAGCCTATAAATGGCCCCGAAGTTTATCTCCTGAGGCCTCTCTCTCTCTCGTCCTCCAAGTTCGTCAGATTTAGATCTGCTTCCAGCTAAGTATTCTTGATCTGCAACCTGTTTTTCTGTTTGTGTTTCTGGTTCGAGATGATCGGAATTTTCTCATCCGATGGAAAATATTTCATCGAGTTTTGATTTTTTGGAGCATAAATTGGATCTCTGACGATTCAAACACTAAGAACTCTTCATTTCGATATCTTTAAACCTAGGTTTTATATATTTGATCAAACCTGGTTATTGGGGGTTCAGCAAATCCAACCGATCCGTTTGATGATTGAGGTTTGAAGCCGCCATCTCCGGCATTTATGAACTCCGATTCGTTTTTCCACAGGATTCGCCTTCTCCAATCCTTCTCTGTTGTTTTCCTTTACTACTTCTACGTTATCTCGTGAATTAGCAAACCCTAGTTTCAACTAAGATATCCTCAAATCATCCCGAACTCTATTTGTTTCTTTTGGCTGAGATTCTCCGGTTGGAGAGAGATGTCGAGTGAGGAAATCGATGAGCGAAAGCGGAAGAGGATGCTGTCGAACAGGGAATCCGCTAGGAGATCTCGGATGAAGAAGCAGCAGCATTTGGATGATATGGTGAATAATATTTCGCAGTTTAAGGAAGAGAACGACATGATTTTGAACCAGGTGAATCTGATTAGTTCGAAGTATTCTAAGCTTGATGCTGAGAACTCAGCAATGAGGATCCGGGTGATGGAACTGACTGAAAGGCTGAAGTTTCTGAACTGCACGCTGAAGCATGTGGAGGAAGAAAGCGGGATGGCCATGGAGATTCCTGAGATCCCAGTAACACTGATGAAGCCATGGCCTTTCGCCTGGTCCCTTCAGCCATTTTTGAGGTCTGCTTATATGTTTCAGTGCTGATATTTTAGTATTACTGCTGCGAGAGATTTATGTAGCTTTACTCTGTTTTTAACTTATCTGTATTATTTGTTGGTTATTGCTGCAATCATCAATGTGTGCTATTTGAATCATGTTGTTTGTAGAATGATTTTGTTCTTGTTTGTTTTTGTGAGAGAGTTATAGCTTTTGCAAAATCATGTTGTTTGTGTTATTTTATTTTTATTTTTACGGACATTCTACTTGGAATCAAACAAGAAAACATATGCAATATTTGTTTTACGCTCAACCAAAACTCCATAATCTTTCAAATAGAATACATTTAAAGCACATTATATTCCTCATATTCTTCATACCTTTTTCAGCAAAACAAACAGCCCCTTAATCTGTTTTGGTCTTTATGTTTGATTAATTTGTAGGTAAATTTGCATGCATGCATCACAATTCTTATGTATTGACATATCTAAAACCTAAAGTTTGTGTTGAATCCAAATTTGTCCGGGATTCGCACTCAAGGAAAAGAGCTCAAGATGGGAGAGAGAGAGAGAGAGAGAGAGAGAGAGAAAGTAGAGTGCACAGGAATGAACACTAAAATGGATGATTGATCCTCTCTTATTGAAGATATAACCCCTCTTATTTATGAGAGATGGTGGGTACAAAGTGTATAATTGCATGCTTGTCATTGCTTTAATGGTGACATTACATGATATTTTAAGTATTCTAAATAAGTGAGTCTATGGTTCGGCTACTCTATTACTAGGTCGGCTGAGAGTAGAGGGCCTTGGTTCAGTAAGACTCGTTTGTCTGATTATGCCGAGCTGAGGCTGCCAAGTTGCTTTTAATGAACTTTGGTTCTGTCGGACTTGACTCGGTCGGCTTGATTTTGTCGGTCGACTGCTCAAGTATGGTTGTTGACTATAGATCCCTAGATGAAGAACTTTTGAGTTGCTTTTAATGATCTTTGGTTCTGTCGGACTTGACTCGGTCAGCTTGATTTTGTCGGTCGACTACTCAAGTTTGGTTGTTGACTATAGATCCCTAGATGAAGAACTTTTGTCGACGGGATGAGACTAGGGTGTGGCAGAGGGTGAATCACCGTAATCCGGCAGGTAGTTCACTCATTGACAAAGGGTCCTTTGGGTTGTTCGTGGAGTACATCGTGGTAAATTTTCGGCCTCCTGATGCAGAGTCTCGAATGATCTTATGCTGACAATGTTAGGACTAGAGTCGGGCTAATGTTTCTCTGCTTGATAGATCTTGGTCTTAGGTCAGAACGATCTTGATCCGGTCGGTTTTGAATCCCGATCTAAGGGAGATACATTTGGTCAATCAGGTTATTGGTCTTCTGCCTATGGATCCTCTTGGTCGTACCTTCTTGTTGTTTAGTCCATTAGATTCCTTCAAGATTCATGTTGACATGTTTCCGATGTACGTACAAGTGGATTATAACATTTTGTTGTTAAAACTTATCAATGCTTTAGTGGTATTTTTGATGTAATATCAAATATTTGAGTGGCTTGTATGTAACTACTAAAGTTTAGGTCTTGCATATGTAAATATATGAGAATTGTGTGATATGCAAGTAAATGCTGCTAAGTTGTATTCTTAGTCCGTTAGAACTACAATCTATTTGAATAAGGATTTATGGAATGTTTTTTTTTTGTTTTTCTTCACGTTTGTGTTTAGATGAGAGCTGTAGCTTTTAGCAGAAATCTGGAGTTTGTATTACACATAATTCTTCTGTATTTACATGTCAATGTCCTAAATTTTAATATTTACATTCATAGCACTCATCTTTAACACCACATCAAAAATATTACTTTTACTATAGCACCAAGGTATGAATGTAAATATTATTTACACTTTAGGCGTAAGATATGTATATCCATAAGAACTGTGTGGCATGTATGTAAAGTTCCTTTGTATATTTTTTCCCAGTTGCGATTGTTCTCCGTATTGTTTGTGTTCATCCCAGTAATTTGCAGGCGAGCATCATGGATGAATGACTAATTGGCTAATAATAATAAGGAAGATTTGCGTACATACCACTCGATTCTCATTTGTTTACATATCTAACATCTAAACTTAAATTTTTCACATATATGCCATCTTATGCATGAAAAGGTGCATTTTACTTTTTTAGAAATTGAAATAGTAGTATTTTTTATGTGATATGATAGATTTGTGTGGTTGAAAAGCAAAATTTAGGTGTTGAATTTTGCATCTATTAGGTTTTTTTTCCACGAGAACTTGGGCTGTCAGAAAAATGTTGTCTTGAATTTGTAATGGCTCCGCCATGGAATCTCAACAAATGTATGGAAGATTTACATAAATACCACTCAATTCTTATGTATTTACATATCTAACACCTAAACTTCAATTTATATATATATACTTTCCTCTGCATGAAAAATGTATATTTACTTTTAAAAGTTGAAAAAAGTAAGATTTTTGATGTAATATGAAAAAAATTGGGTGCTTTAAATATAAAAAAAACAAAGTTTAGGTATTAGATTCTTGAATGCATAATGTGCTATGCATGTAAATACCTCTAAAATCATTTAAATTTTTGAAGCTTTAGACAGAACTCAAAAACAATTCAATTTTCGAGTTGTTGGATTTTACTCGAATAGTTTTAGTGTGGCTAGCAATCGGCTTGTGGTTCGTTATATTCAATTTTGAGCTGAGCCGGCTCGAAATTGAATTCAGCTCGATCTGACTTGAAATCAAAATTGGCTCGAGTTATTTGGATCCGTTTAGGCTCGGACCGGTTGAATTCTTCTCAAAATTAAAACTAGCTGGCTCAAATGAAGTTGTATTCAATTTTATTTAACATTATATATGTATTTTTATAAATAACAAATATTACGAGCAAATTTTGAGTCAGTTCAAGTCAATTCATATGTGCTCAAAATCAACTAAAAAAATAATAATTCGAAATTTTAGCTCATAATTAAACTCATTTATTTCAATTCAAATTCGAAAAGAACCAAAATTTAAAGCAATTTTCGATCAACCATCTTCTAGCTAAATTAACGGCCCAACTCAAAACCTGCCTATAAAAGAAATCTTCCCGCCTCTCCCACTCCCCATAATCCCCCGCCATCCTTCTCCAGCAAGTTGGTCGCTACCCAACCCTCTTCTCCGGCCAAAACAGAGACCAGATCCTCCAAATCCCATGCTAACTCCGGCGAATCGGAAGCTCAACTCGCCAGCACTCGCTCTGCATCAAACGATCCCGTCGATCCCTCTCCATCGGCTTCATCGCCGTCTGAAGTGGAGAGATCTATGATTCATCCTTCACTCCATCATCAAATCCTCACATCGATCCATCCTCCTGCGAATCTTCCTCAGCCAATGTCGCAACCCTCGAACTCTGCTGCGGGAACAGATGCCTCGTATTCTTCCTCCTATTCAACGACGGAGGAATCCCCGACGCTCTCGTCAACTTTCTCTTCGATCGGGATTAGGTTACGCTAATCGGGGCAGGAGTCCGGCGAGCAGGCGATTGGCTCGGCCCGATGGACCCGATGGGAGCTCGGGGTGGCAAGGGCTTGGCGAGGCTTGCGGCCTCTGAGAACTCTGGATCAGCTTGCCGGGAAATTGCTGGGTAGGGAGAAGGCGATCAAGGTTTAGCAGGTTGGGTACTGGGATCGGTGGCCGCTGACAGAGGATCAAGCGGCGTTCGCGTGCTTGAACGCGTATTTGCTGTCTGAGATCGGGGAGAAGATGGTGGAGATTACTCGAGAGGCTTTCCACGGTTACGGTATGTGTTCATTGAGGGGGTCGAGCGTTAGGGTTCGGTGATTTTAATCAGGCCTAGGGTTGGGGTTAGGATTGGGGTTAGGGTTGGGGTTCGGAATTTTAATTATGCATAGAGAAAGATTCGTTGATTGTGATTTGTTGATTTTGAAATTTGGATTAGAGGTTTGTTTGCGTGATTTGAATTTGGATTTATGAGATTAGTATTAATGTATTATTAGTAAAAAATTATTAGTTTTAGAGCATTAAGAAAACAGGAATAATTATATATGATTCAAAATATTGATGTTTACCAATTATGCAGTTACATAATTTTGTTTGAAGTATTCAATTAATTGTTGTATTAAATGTCACGATTAAATTATTGATAATTTGATAAAAATGAAAAATATGAATTGGGATTTTATCGTGAATGCATGTATATGAGCGAGAATTTCAAAAATGGATGAAAAAGGGTGGTGATTCATAAATAGCAACTTTT